ATCTGTAATAATTCAGCCATCTGGTGGTAAAATTTAAAATTTTATTTGGTGGTATTTTCATTAGCTTAGACGTCAAATACTTGGTCAAGTTGCACGCAATTGTTTCAGTTCTCTAGAACAATTTCTTTTGCGACTAACAGTTCTCAGATAAACATTTCACAAAGATGATAAGCCAACGTTACTGTAAACGATTCACCTTGAAGGTATACAACAAAATACTCTCATCTCTTATTCACTCTGTTGGAATAAAATATATATATATTGCATATGCAGAAAAAAGAAAAATGATTTGACCAGTTTGTACTTTTATTTCGTTGCGTTTAGATGGTAAATCATCCATTAAGCTCTGCGTCGGAATGTGAAACGGTATTGATGAACAAATGCCAACGTGCATTGGACGATGGAACGAAAAAGGATCCAGTTGAAAAATTGCGTTTGCTATGTTTGGCACATGGTACATCTGGTTTCGTGGGCTTGGGTATGTATCATATTTATATCATATACACACGATTTGTTGCCTAATCGCTCACGACGCAATTACCATTTCACTTCAAATTAAACACCAAATAAATGCGTAATTACTATTAGGTCGTGCTTTTCGTCGAATGGACGATGATGGTAACAAACAACTTTCACTCGAGGAATTTACAAAGGGACTTCACTACCTACTGATGGAAGTAACCGATGAAGAAGCTAAAAATATTTTCAAACGGTAAATTTAATGAAGAAGCACTTTTTGAACGTTTTTCACGTTTTCTTTTCTTCCGTGTAGTTTTGATACCGACGAAAATGTTTCGATCAATATGTCGGAATTTTTGATCAAAATCAGAGTGAATACCGAACTATTTATATTCTATTGCGTTGAATTATATTGCTTAATTGTATGGTGTGTATTTTTTTTTACAGCCTCCAATGTCGCAAAGCAGACGAAACATAATTGGTGTTGCATTCAAAAAGTTGGATAAAACTGGTGACGGGCAAATTACCATCGACGATTTGAAGTAAAGTCAATTTTCTACGCATTTTTCATTTCGCATTATTTGATTTCTAACTTTGTGTTTCTCATTGCAGACATGTGTATTCGGTACTTCACCATCCGGAATATACTTGGTACTTCTTATTTATATCCAGAATCGAAAAAAAAAAATTGGCCAAATGCCATAATTTTCATCATTTTTCTTAACTAACGCATCGTTTTTTGTTGTTCTTTTTCTTTTTTATGCGTACAAATTGCAGTGGTGATCAAACAGAAGAGCAAATTTTGGATCGCTTTTTGGCAAATTTTGAAGTTGGCGGTGTTGTAGATGGTCATTGGTCTAACTCTTTGGCTTCAAACAGTCGTGTCACCGAAGAAGAATTTTTCAACTATTATGCTGGCGTCAGTGCATCAATCGATAACGATTTATACTTTGATTTAGTCATGCGACAAGCATACAAGTTGTAAACATTGTGTGCAATATAAATCCATATTTAATCAACATTGACACAATAACCATTACTAAAGTCACTAACCAAATTGGTCTCGATCTTCAAATCGGCAACAATTTATTTGATTTGTTTTGTTTCAAACCAAAAATGAGTTTACACACATTTTGCACGAATAGCAAATTAACGGCTTTCATACCCAATCTTTTATAAGAAATGAAATTGTGTATTCTTGCTCACAAAATAATTATAATTTCGGAAAGAAAACTAAATTAATTTGTTTTTATATACGACAGTTCGAATAAGATAAATTATTGGAACATTTTCAAGGAAATGAACAACCTATACTTTCACTGACGCAACCCTTAGCATTACCAAATGCCAAAACACAAACATTATGAAAACGCAATCGTACCTGGAAGCGAGCAAGTGTTCAAGCATGCTCGAGCAAGTAATAAACCTTTTTTGAGCAACCGGAGTAGCAGAGAGTATTTTTTAAAGACTACTTGCTTACTTACTAGCTGCTCGCATTGCTCCAAAAAAAGCAGCAATTATGTTACTTGTTTACTTGACAAAAAATGCTAGCTTTGACAAAAAATGTTGTGTGTTTTCTGTTCATTATTATTATTTTAATTTTTCATCTTCTCATAAAATCGCTTTATATTTCAGTGACCGGTTCGCGCATATTTCTATGCCTGATAGCTATGCTAAGCATAGCGGAGACGCAAGCCGCAACACACCCGTCACCATTCGATTCGAGCTATATTGTATGCGCACGGTCGTCTGCATAAACGAACATGTGTATTGTTCATATAGAGTGAAGGGCGATTCGTCGGTTGCGTTTGCGGCTATGCTTGGCATACTCACAGAAAAATTTCCGGATATTTCGAACCCAGAAATCGGTTTAAATCACAGCGGAATGATTTCTGGGTTCAAAAGATCCGAAAATCCGAAAAACCGGATAACACTTAAATTTGAGACTTTCAATGAGACTTGAATCTGTATTTCAACGTTCAACTATCATCTTAAGAATTTCTCTCACAGAACGAAAATTTGGTACCTCCATTGGGGCCCTATAAAGGGAGTGGACCACGAGTGCTCAACTTCTAGAACATTTTGGGTCAGGTCGGATCCACCTATTCCACAAGATTCATGTCCAGATCATTTCTTCTCGTTCACTCTCATACGATATCATATGGGAATATTATGAGAAGAGAACGGGTTGATATTATGAGTAGTGGATCTTGTGGAGTAGGTGGATCCGACCTGACCCAAAATGTTCTAGAAGTTGAGCACTCGTGGTCCACTTCCTTTATAGGGCCCCAATGGAGGTACCAAATTTTCGTTATTTTTCTCGATTTCCCATCGGAAAAGCGAGAAAAATCGATTTGAAGATTTTTCCAGTTTTCTTTATATAAATAAACTGTGAGAGAAATTCTTAAGATGATAGTTGAACGTTGAAATACAGATTCAAGTCTCATTGAAAGTCTCAAATTTAAGTGTTATCCGGTTTTTCGGATTTTCGGATCTTTTGACCCCAGAAATCATTCCGCTGTGATTTAAACCGATTTCTGGGTTCGAAATATCCGGAAATTTTTCTGTGAGTATCTATGCTACCTAGCGTATTTAGCCAAGCATAGAAATATGCGCGAACCGGTCACTGTTATATTTTATTAGATTTATCTTACTACATGAGCTTACAATGTAATT